CCGTCTGTATTGCACAGGGCAATAACTATAATGACCAAGGTATTGGCCTGTCCATGTTGGTTTTCGAAAAATGGATCGTTTGATTGAGCCGTATTCTAGCATACTTTGAAGTATATCCAAGAAGGGAAGATGGTCATTGTTCTCATCTTCGCATGAGAGACTGATGTGATCCTCTCTTTCACAGACACCTAAGACATCGTCCACATATCTTAACAAGTATATTTGTGATCAGACTGTTCGAAATGTACTGCCCTAATATGTCACATAGTTCTGATAATCTTTGTCTTCTTATTACACTATCAAAATTTATCAAAAGGTCTAATAGCTTCAAATTCCTTAAAGGAAGAACTCAAAGTCGTCTACGTAGGAAACTGTGCTCAGTGAAGCGCCTCATAGTACGGTTTTGGGGTCATCGTTGTTTCTCCTGGATGGAAATGACCTTCCTAGTCTCAAATCATCATCGGTTTCGTCATACGCTGGCGATGCCAAGGGGCGGAAATCGATAATGGCAAGGGTGATAGTTTAGAGCTTCAAAATGACCTGAAGAAACTATCCGAATGGTCTAAAATTTAGTAGTTGTCGATAAATGCTTGCAAGTGAGTTGTGATACATATTGGTCACCAAGGTACAGATACATACACGGTGGATAAGAGTGAGCCATCTGTTGTCCAGACACAAAAAGACATAAAAGTCATCGTTAGCAAAGACTAAAGAACTACTGCACACCGCCATGGTATAGCCGCCAAAGGTTTTATAATCCTGTGGTCAATAAGTAGAGGCTTCGGTCATGTTGATGCTAAAGCCTTCCTGAATTTGTATTCGTTCGTTCTAAAGTCTAATACTGTATATAGGCAGCTAACTCCCTCCTTATAAGAGACAGTGAGCTGTTAAAGAAGGCCTAACGAATGGCAGCCACCTATCCACCTGTCCTTTCCAAACTGAAAGTAAGATCTAAGCTCTCTTCTCCTTCCTCTAGCTTCCGAAGAATTTGCGACTTCATTTCGAGTCCACCAACATCACAACTGTTCACCATTTTAGGATGAAAGTTAAGCTCTCTCTCTTAATCGGACGGTTAAAGAGTCTGGAGGCTTTTCCAAGTAGAAACATCAGGTGATAAGTCACCAATACAGTTTTTACGTCACTTCCAAGTTCTATTTAGTGACAACACAGTGGGTGAAGCAGTCCTAGGATAAGGATGGATACAAGCTATTCCATGCTACGTCCAACACTATTTTGATGCTCAAGACCCGTACACCTCTTCATCTTAGAAATTCCACAAGCATTCGGAGTTTGGAAACGTCTTTACACGTAACGCCTTGATAACCGAAACATACCGAACCAGTTAAATCAGAAGTCAGAAATGAAGAAGTTTGAAGATATATTTAGAAAGCTATCTACACGTCGAGAAGCGTTTGGTCTGATCTAGCTGACAATTAAATAGGAATGCGTAGCAAGGCGTACCGACTCGTGACCTGGTGCAGATGCTTGACCGAGAGCCTTCAGCTGGGTTTGACCAGTAAAACTAGTGAGGTTAGTATCGTTTCGCTATTCGTTGGTGGCATGATGGGAAGAATTTTTGGCCATTTTGTAGACACGTTGACCACAACCAGATAAGAAGTTACATTGGTTTGGTCAGAGAAGTAGACATGTATCTTGGGCCAGAGATACTCAGGCTGTACCCATGAGGCTGGCGACACTTTTGCGTTAAACTTCGCCACTTGCAGACATTGCATGCATTTGCCTACTAAATCCACGATGTGCTGGTCCATACACGGACAGTACGCGTAACTTCTAGCTATAGATTTCATTCGTTTCACACCAGGATGACCAATATAGAACTGCTTCAGCACTCTTGATCATAAAACTTCTGGCACCAACACTTTGTTTCCAGACATCAAGCATTCATTTACGACATGTAATGAGTCCCGAAGATGGCAAAGTTGCTTCATGTCACCATCGAATCCAATGAACGGCCAACCGTTGTTGACGTAGTTCAGAGTTTTTTTAGTGATGGGGTCGTTCCTGGAAGCAGCTTGTGTCTCAGCTTCTGAGACTGGCAAGACACGAACAGCAGCTGTCATGCAACAGTGCGCGTGGTCTTTTGTTAAAAGGGAGGCAATGACCGTAACTCATTCAGCTGTAGGGTGTTCTCTAATAAGTCGCAACAATGTGTCTGCCTGACCGAAATATTGAGTGCGTCGATACTGAATGTCAAAGTCATAACCTGAAAGTATCAAGGCCCATCGCTGAGGACGATTTGCAGAATAAGCTGAAACACCAGATTTTGAACCGAATATTGTGAGAAGCTTATGGTCTATTATAGACGTACATCTTTGACCGCTCAAGAACTTGTGGAGACGACGCACTGCAAAGACAAGGGCTACCTCTTTCTCTACCTGGCAGCGCTTCTTTTCTGCCGGAGTTCACGGGCGAGATGCATGCGTAATAGTTTCTCCTGTCGCATCTGGGAACTGTTGTGAGATGACAGCAACGAGTCCCAAAGCTGGAGCGTCTCCAGTCACGATGGTTGACACGGATGGGTTGTAGTATATCAGTAATAGTTCTGACATATTTCTTATTTTTAGTCTCTCTGTATCGCCGGGTCGATTACCAAAATATTTAAGGAATGATGTGGTAAATCATATCTGTAAAACAGGTTCCATCCTTACTTACATATTTTACCCCTCTTGATGGAACATAAGCCACTCATCAGCATTCACCCATCGAACTTTAACCTACGCAATCCTTCGCAGTTGCTAATAATCCCTCTCTTGTCTGCTTACATATCCTAACGTAGTGTGTTCTTTGGACTTCCTCTTTTCCGTTTCTCTTGAAGATTCCAAGTTAGCGCCTGCCTCGTGATGCAGTTTGGTGATTTTCCTAGTGTGGGTTCTATCCACTTCTAGCGACTTTTCCTGATTTTTTCTTCAGCTGTAGGCTGGTTTGCTCTCCCACACAGTAGGTTGTTTCTGAAGGTATCCGGCAAACAGACATTAAGTGTCTTGTGTAAGCAATTGTTTATGAGTACTTGTGCTTGTGGTAGTTCTCCAAGTTCTTTTTGGGGATTCTGACTTTGATATTAACTTGCAGACAGTTGTTTTAACTTTGATATGTTGTTTAGTTGTGAGAATGAGACAATCCGATCCTCCTCGTTCATCGACAATGCTGTCCAGGAACGAGAACGTTTTTACATCTTCTAGAGTTTCCCCATCAAGTGTGGCTGGGTTGATGTTCTCCGTGTTTTATTCGAGAATCTCGCTTTTTCCTTTGTGTATGTTCAAGTCTATTGATGCAGAGGCTGCTGCTACATTAGTTATCTTCATCTTTATTTGTTCGTGTTCATGGGATAGGAAGTGATAGGTCATCTGAAAAGTCCAAATCTTCCAACTGATTTTGAGCTGTCCATTGTATTCCGTACTTTCACCCAGATGTCGAGGAGGGAGAGTAGGCAATCTTGTTTAACTCCGCTCATCACTCGAAACGTATCTGTTAGCTGTCCTCCATGTACAACATTGCAGCTCAGCTCATCATATAAATTCTGTATGGTGTTAACGACTTTCTCAGATACACCATAGTGTCGAAGAAGTCTCCATGTGGTTCTCCTATCTACGCTATCAAATGTCTTCTCATAATTAATAAAGTTGATGCATAGTGACGCGTCCCATTCGATCGATTGTTCAACGATGATCGATAGTGTCGTGATTTGGTCTGTGCACAATCGGTCATTATGGAATCCGATCTGTTGACCTCGAAGTTGGGCGTCCACTGAATTGTCCATCCAGTTTAGCAACACTGTTGAATACCTTTCTTGTTACCGAGATTAGTGTGATTCCTCTGTAGTTTTCACATTTGCTGAGATCTCCTTTATTCGGTGTATTGATGAGATACCCTTGATTCCATCCTGTCAGTGGCAGTTGTTCCTCCTCCTAAATCTCTCATATTTCCTTCTATTGAAGCTTCTTCCGATGTCGTTGCTAACTCTTCCACATATTCCTGCATGTCGGCTCTTATGCTCCTCCTCACTTGCCTGTTTGCTTCTGTGTGTTCAGCTTGCTGCCTTGACATTCTTTGCTCTTGTTCGGCTAGCCTTTGTTCTATGTTGTCTTCTTGTTCTTCCCTCTTTGAATCTTATCCACGGTTCGCATAGAGATCCATTCCTTATGATGATGCTTCTTGAGACCCAGAACCTTCTGAAACGCTGAACTTCATGCTTCTGTGATACCTTTCTAGTTGTCTTCCATCGTAGTTTCTTCTTGTGCGAGTGGATCTTGTAAGGCTTGGTACGTGTTGTTGAGAGTTATCTTGAATTGATTGAGTTTGTCAGTAGTTCGAAGGAAATCTCTACTGAACCTTTGTAATGCCGTTTGTTCAGGCAAACTTTTTATCCCAGTATAGAGTTATTTCGAAGTGCACGCCGAAGGTCCTATTGTAGTAAACGAGAACACCAGTGGGGACAACCAAATATATTTAAACACAACATTATAGAATCTCTTAGTAAAATCTGAGAACCATACAGTAACTAATCCATTTGTAAAATGTCAATCAATTGTCTCAGACTTGATTTGTCCTTCGTTTCCATGTCAATCATTCTTTGTTTTCGTTCTCTTTTCTTAGATCTTCTTAACCTTCTTCGATCAGGCATTTCACTTTCGGTTGATGATTAGTACTACATACATCCGTCAGCATCAGTAGCACACAACACACTATCACGTCTTTAGTGTGTAACTAATAAGACTGATCTTAACAGAGGTTATTGTCACGGCAAATATTAACATTAGTATTTTCTCAAATGTATATGTGATATAAATACTTCATTAAGTCTATCTTTTGTATAGTCCGAAAATTTCTAAGTGAATCTATGCTAAGTATTTACTCACTGAATATACTTAAATCATACGCATCAATCTTTTTTTGGTGTACACATGTATTTATGTGTTTACACATGTATACACAGTTGGAAGTGATCATACTTACACGCACATAGATAATCACATGTGTATACTTTATTTCAGTTACCTACTTAAAAGTAATAAACAGACAACTATCGAGAAACAAATCACTGTGACCAACCATATTTCAAAGAAAGATTCAAAACAAATTTATAAATTGAATATTCTGTTATATAATGCATCCTAACTAAGGAATAAATCATTATACACTTCAAATACTATTCATTTAATTACTAGGATATATATCATTCAAGTTGATCTATAATCATGGTACTTAAGTTCGGTCCAGATAATCCTCCAATTGTTATTGACAATGGAACAGGATTGCTGAAAGTTGGCTATTCTGGTGAAATGGAACCACGTGCAGTTGTTCCTATGATTCTCGGTCGACCCAAACATATGAAAGTCATTACTGACAGAAATTCTGATGAATGCTTCGTCGGTGATATAGCCGGTGGTAAAAGAGGAGCATTAACTTTATCCTATCCAATGATGAATGGTATTGTACAAAATTGGGATGATTTAGAAACTATCTGGCAACATGTCTTTACCAATGAACTACGTGTTCTTCCTGAGAATCATCCAATGCTTTTGACTGAAACACCATTGAATCCTAAAGTAAATCGTGAGAAAATGGCGGAAATTATGTTCGAACAATTTCACGCACCAGCAGTTTACATCTCGATTCAAGCTATTCTCTCACTTTATGCTTCAGGTCGTACAACTGGTTTAGTATTGGACTGTGGAGAAGGTGCTACACACTTGGTTCCTGTATTTGATGCGTATGTTATTCCGACAGCTATACACCGAAGAAACTTAGCAGGACGTGAAGTAACCAACTATCTTAAACATTTACTCACTGAAAGAGGTTATAAACTGATTACAACATGTGAACATGAAATCGCTCGTGATGTAAAAGAAAATCTTTGTTATGTTGCCATGGATTACGGCAAAGAATTACAATTTAGCCAAGAAGACAAAAAATTGTATGAAATGACATATCGTCTACCTGATGGTCAGTTGTTAAATATTGGTAGTGAAAGATTCCGTGCACCTGAATTGATGTTCGATCCCAAGTTAGCTGGTTATGAAATGAATGGCATTCACACTGCCACAAATGAAACCATACTGGCTTGTGGTATGGATGTCAGAAAGAGTTTTTGGTCAAATATTATTCTCACTGGTGGAGGTACAATGTTTCGAGGTTTCCCTGAACGATTACGTAAAGAATTGCATCATCTAGCCCCAAAAGGTGTTACAGTAAAGGTGATGGCATCTCCTGAACGAAAATACTCAGTATGGATTGGTGGTGCTGTTTTAGCCTCTTTAAGTACTTTCAATGAAATGTGGGTAACCAGAGAAGAATATAACGAATTTGGTTTAGAAATTTTACATCAGAAATGCGTTTAATTACATGGAAATACCGTAATATTTATTTCATTCGAGATATTAGTGAATAACAATATACGAAGGTAGTTTCTTTCAGTCATTTTTTTGTACAATTGTGTAATGTTACATTTGTGCATAATAGTTGATGTAAGTGAAATGTTTCAAATTTCCACATTTCTATCGACAGTTAATATAGAAAATTCCCACAACCCAAGGAAATATTAATTTACTTCGTAAATGCTTTTTACTGACATGTAGTTTAGGTTTGTATACTTAACATATATATTCAATGTAATTTCATGTATTTTTCAATATATTTTTCTAAATGATATTTGAAACTTTACTCATAAAATGTTTAAGTTTCCATTGAAAGTTTTTTGGCGGCCTGCTTAAACATCTGGGCTACCTGTTTCCCGTCATCTATATATTTCAACAAGTTATCTAATATTGTTTTTTTTTAATACATAATTATGACTATTAAGCACACAACCTATTCCGCTACGTTTCTGAAAACTGTACAACCTTTCGCTGTAAAAGTTACAAAAAGCCTAATCAGAGATGTCGTGTTTGCTGGGAACATGCAGCAAAAAGAATATACATTATTCATATGTTGATTGACTAAACTGCTGACATTCAACTGGCGATCACTGAATGTTTATCATCAGGAGCAACGAAGAAATAAGAAACGTAAATATGTTGAAATACTTTATGCTGAGAATTTGATTTTGTACCAAATAATATAATATTGAATAAAGCTAATAATAATAATAATCCATGGGAAAAACCCAGAACTAAATGACTTCTTTTACTAGTTTCAGTAAAGGAATGGACTAAATATGAATTAATTAATCTCAATACCTTAGAAAGAACTAAAGTGATCTAATATTGTTTCTAAAATCTGTTTTAGGTTCAGCAACTGATTTGGAAGTCTATACTTATAACATTTGAAACTTTGTACTTATATCTTAGTTGGCAAAATTTTTCAGGCAAATAGTAACTTCTGATTCAAATAGGCAAGTTAAAATAACTTCATCTAGGAATTGATGTATGGATTGACCATATTCGAATCAAACAACACAAGATTTATAAATGCGTAATAAACATGAGGGACTCATAAAAAGGAAACACGTGTAAACCTAATATATATCAGACAAAATATCTTGAAATGTGGATGTAGAATGAAACCTAAATCGTCCTAATTCCGTCTATATGAATTCTTTATCCCGTTAACAGTAACTTGGATACGAATTACGGTGATTTTTGTATCTCTCACCAATGAAATAGTATGGCTTAATGGTTAAAGTTCCAGAATAATAAACCTTATCAAGATAGCTAAGCACCATCCATTAAAAAACATGTTATTGTTACTGTTATGTTTACCAAGAAATAGCAGAACAAAATCTGAGTACATTAAATATTCATATCGAAAATTCTAAACCGGTGATTATAACGAATTCACGAACAATCTCCATGAAAATTCATTTTAATTACATAAACTGGCCACAGAATCATGATCCACTTCACATCATATAATTCTCAGAGATGTCTCATTTCTACATAAATTAAATTCCCAGTACATAACATAAAACTAAGTTGACATTGTTATGTATCAATGTTTTAGTTTGTATTTATGTATTTTTGGTATTTAATAGACAGGATTTTGTAAAGACCTAGAAAAGTAATGCGACCTTTCCGTGTCTCAATATCATTACCAAGAACAGTTAAACAAGAAATCCCTGAGAAATTAAAAAATTTTGAATTTAATAAAACAATTTAATTTCAAAACGGTAATCACAACGACGTCAGGATGTTGGTTTGGGTTGGAAAAAACAACGTCAAACCTTATTTCAGGAGTGTACTGAAATACACATTTACTTTCTCGTCAATAATGAGATAAAGAAAAACAGCAGTAAAATATTTTAGTACTCGGTTTATTACTTTTTTACAACTTAATCCATACTCCATTCATTTTAAAGGGACTTTTATTTTCATTAATGATTTTATTACATTCTTACATTTCCTAAATACATTATAAACAGGTTATAGAAAGTTCATCGAAAAATGAACCTTAGATACATAAAAATACAAATATAAATCTAATTTATGATAAGCAAAGATGGATAGTGGCTAGCAGTGGAATACAGGACGCGCGTTTCGTTCTATTTGGAACTCGTCAGCTGGATATACCTGCATCCCAAAGTGAACATCAACTGTGAGATATGGCAGGTACATCCAGCTGACAAGTCCCGAATAGAACGAAACGCGTGTCCTGTATTCCACTGCTAGCCACTATCCATCTTTGCTTATCATGCTTGTGAATTAAGGCTATATCGAGGCAATACGCACAGTATGCACATATGCCAATTAGAGACTGACCAGTTGCAGTCCTAACACATCTATGGGAAGATTCAAACAAACAATACTAAGTGAATGTAATTCTAATTTGTTCGTCATAATTGAGGATATATTCAAGTGAATCGTATAGAATGACAAATCAACTCCGTGTAAATAATCTTGGAATGTGACGATTTATCACAAAAAAAAACGATTTGTCGACATTAAATGTCCAATGAATGTGTTACAAAAAAGATAGAATTATTGACCCATGGAGTTGTTTGTGCAACAGAATTACATCATTATATGTAAAGTGTTTTAGACGAAATAAACAGTATAAACAAATCTCGTAGAACATAAATGGATGTAGAATTCGGTTTGCTTAACACAAGCCTATACAAAATATTGACTGCGATATTGAGTATTTTGTGTTGAACTTAAAACTAAGATCATTCCAATAAAGATAGTCCTAGATAAAAGATTCAACTCTTAAGGTAATTATCTCTTAGTTTAATAATGTATAACTGCTGTACCATTAAAATTACATTAAATAGATTATTTTGGTGGTTAGAGATAAAATAGACATTAACACCGCTGGATGCCGGTCGGCTCAGTGGTCTATCGGTTAAATGCTCTGGTGCGAAGCTGCTAGGCCCTGCGTTCGAATCTCGTAAGTGTGGGATCGTGGATGCTCACTGCCACTGAGGAGTCCCATAATGGAACGAAACAGCCGTCCAATGTTTCCAGGTTTTCCATAGTGGTCTAGCTTCAATTGACTCATGATTTCAACTATGAAAATATTGAAATATTCACAAAAACCCCTTCTGATATTAACTGATCAAAAAAAAAACAACATACTAATTGTGCACAAATAATGAAATCATTTAATCAATAAACCAATTACATAGTTAGACATGGTTAAACTATACTTTGATGACTGATATATAACATTGAAGATGGAATGTTATTGAATGAGAAAACACAATTATCATTGTGTCATTACATTCTTTATTACTTTTTACTTTTTGTTTTGTTTAAATATTTAAAAAAAAAAAGAATCATTATCTGAATGTTGTTCATCAGTTTAGAGTCTTTATATGACAGATATTAGATGCGAATTAATGTAATCTATTCATATCTCATATCTTTAAATGACAAGAAAACTATTTTTCTTAAAAACAATATTGAATACATAGTTAAAAGGAATTCATACTTGTTTTGTAAGTTTTAAAGGCTGATCAATATAAGTTTTGTGTGATAATTTAATGTTTGAAAATTTTCATAAAAAGAAATTCTGTTGAGTAATATAAACATTACTTACTTACTTACTTACTTACTTACTTACTTACTTACTTACTTACTTACTTACTTACTTACTTACTTACTTACTTATTTACTTACTTACTTACTTACTTACTTACTTACTTACTTACTTACTTACTTACTTACTTACTTACTTACTTACTTACTTACTTACTTACTTACTTACTTACTTACTTACTTATTTACTTACTTACTTACTTACTTACTTACTTACTTACTTACTTACTTACTTACTTACTTACTTACTTACTTACTTACTTACTTACTTACTTACTTACTTACTTACTTATTTACTTACTTACTTACTTACTTACTTACTTACTTACTTACTTACTTACTTACTTACTTACTTACTTACTTACTTACTTACTTACTTACTTACTTACTTACTTACTTACTTACTTACTTACTTACTTACTTACTTACTTACTTACTTACTTACTTACTTACGCCTGTTATCCCTCGTCGAGGAGCATAGGCCGCTCATTAGCATTCTTCATCCGAATCTGTCCTGAGTCTTCCTTTCCAGTTCTTTCCATTTGTTATTCATCCTTTTTCATATCTGCTTCTATTTCCCGGCTTAATGTGTTCTTTGGTCTTTCTCTTTTCCGCTTCCCATCCGGATAAATATAAACATAGATGAGTAAAAACTATTCACAATCGAGTTATGAGTGTATTATTCATCAGTTCATTGTTATTCTTAAATCTGTTTCTTCAGACCTCACTTTTTTCTGATTGAACAGTTAAGATGTCTCTATTTTAACTGAGATTCATGTCTTTCATTGTCTTGTCAGTTTTACAAATAAAACAAAATAAAATGTCGTAGTCAACATCAAATAATCCATAGTATCATACCTCTGTAAAGATACATATAATCGTCAACAAATGGTCTATGGAAACTCTCTAACATTACTCTTCTACATTTATTAGAATTTGTTTCTGTCTAGAACAAGTATTGTAAGTTATGGTGAGGAAAATAAAATACCGAACAAGCGCATACTACTGTAAACTAAAACAACACCAAAGATGAAATAATAATAACCTATCAATCATTATTCGGTTACAAAACAGTGAAGTGAACATTTCTTACAGCAGATCAGTCGTGAGAGCAAAAGAACTATACTATTCCTCGTCATTGGAGAACAAAAAGTCAATAGGAAACAATGAAAGTTTCGAAATAACTGATGAACAAAGATCAAGATCATTTTGACGAAACTTAAGAAAAGTGTTATACTGCTAAAAAGCAACAACGCATATTGAATGTACAAACATTTTATAAATCAATAAGTTATAATGAATAGCCTTCTGTAAACTTACAAACTGTTGAGCTAAACGAAGTTAATTGGAATTTAACGAATAAATCCACTCTTCTTGAAGTTGTAAACAAGCTAATTTAACCACAGCCCTATTACATTCATTCATTCAAGGCAAAACTTAGTAAAAGACGTCATACAAATTTTAGGATACTGTGTGACAGTAATCACCACTTGAATATCTGTTACCACATCAAATAACAGTAAATTATTTTATTCATGAATTCATTTTGAGAAGGGGTTTTGTGGAGATTTTAATAATTTTATAGAGTTGAGATCGTGAGTCAATTGAAGCTAGACCACCATGGAAAACCTGGAAGCCCTGGACGGCCACTTTGTCCTATTATGGAACTCCTCAGTGGAAGTGCGCATCCACGATCCCGCACTCGCGAGATTCGGACCCAGGACCTACCATTTTCGAGCCAAAGCCCTTAACCGATAGATCACTGAGCCGGCCGGCATCCAACGGTGTTAATGTTTGACTTCAACTGATCCACGAAATTGAGCAACCATTCACCAATGTTATCAGTAAGTTACTATCTCACAACAGACCTGGTTGAACTCCACCGGTTACTGCTTCTCACTAGAACTCCAGGAAATACCTCATGGAGTCAGTCACTAGTGACCACATGATCATTATCAGAAGGGGTTTTGTGGAGATTTTAGTAATTTTATAGAGTTATGATCGTGAGTCGATTGAAGCTAGATCAGTTGGAGTTAAACATTAACACCGTTGGATGCCGGCAGGCTCAGTGGTCTATCGATTAAGGGCTTTGGCTCGAAAATGGTAGGTCCTAGGTCCGAATCTCGCGAGTGCGGGATCGTGGATGCGCACTGCCACTGAGGAGTCCCATAATAGGACGAAACGGCCGTCCAGTATTTCCAGGTTTTCCATGGTGGTCAAGCTTCAATTGACTCACGATCTCAATTCATTTTGAGTTGAAATGTATGGAAAATACACATTTTCTACTCATTAATATATTGCAAAAGTACTGAGATTAAATGAAAATCTTTACAAAGCCCAAGCTGAATCATTCATTGATAGTTTTTGTTAACTTTTATTATCATTTGATTGACTGAGACTTAACAAATAACAATAATCGTTACTCTTATTTCTTCATTTATATGAAGTTGTTAATGATTTTGTCAATTTGCCAATTGTTCTATCTTTTGACGATTATAAGTAAATGGCTAATTAATTGACTAATTAGATAGGCTACTTCTCAATCAATTTACGATTTAATAGGTGAATGTTTTTATCAGAACTAAAACATATTTCAAATTATATTCATTCTTTTACTCAATTAATAATAATAAAATATTGAATAATAATTGAAAGATAAAATGTAAATGAGAAACTTCATTTAGTATTGTTTGTTTGAATCTTCTTATCGAAAGGTACTGGGTTCGAGTCCCAGAGTGAACATCAACTCAGAGATGCAGGTACATCCAGCTGACGAGTCTTAAATAGGACGAAACGCGTGTCATGGATCCATCTCTGCTTAAATGAGAAACTGTTGTAACAGCTACCTCACTACTAATAAATGAAACTAGGGACTGTTATGTTGGCTTCCAGAGAACTCTAACAGAGCCTCCAGAGACTCATAAAGAGCCCCAACGACAATTGTTTTTTTTTATTTGCCAAAATCCCCGTCGCCAATGTTACGTCTGGCCGATTGTAAACGTTATATTTGCTTCCCTAAGCTTGTTCCGTATCCCCGAGCTAGAACTATACACCGATTTGAAGACCAGAGAAAAGGCACAAAATGTATGGGAAGCACTTTACTACAGGGTTCATTTATATACAGAAAATACAGGAATTTTATAGTAATTAAGAGACCTTGAGTTTCCATAGTAGCAGTATGTTAATCAGCCAATCAGGATCTCGTTATTTTAGTAACATTACTTCGAATTAATCGCTGATTGTTTGGGGCTCTTTATGAGCCTCTGGAGGCTCTGTTAGAGTTCTCTGGAAGCCGACTTAACAGGGACCATTATAATTTACCTGTTACAAAATAAGAACACGAAAAACTTGCGAGGACGAAGATTTTTCGATTCTCGAAAAACGCTTCATTCATAACCAAAAAGTACATTCATTTATACTGATCATTTTTATAGAAAATAATATTACATATAGTAAAATACGTAGTTTATTTAAAATATCAACTCTTTGACAGATGTATTAGTTAATTTAACCATAAAACAAAAAAGTAATCCTATCAACTTTGTGTTATATCTGAAGCGTTACGAATTCACTAGTAGCGAATGGAACAAAGACACGTGACCAGAGACCGATAACTAGCTATACTGATGCGACCCAGACCCAGCTAACTAGATGAAGAAGTCCAAGGCAAGTAGAGGAATATATATATGTATTCCGTAAGCAGCAGAGTACAAGCAATCGAATAAGGGAAAAAGTCAAGCGCATTTATACAGCAACAATTTATCCTTGAGCATCATTAGTAAATAGCACACACAAAGAAACAATGGACCAATAGCGTTTAAGATAGTTTACAAGTGGGAAATATGATGAGAAAGTAAAAAGAGCGCGTTTGGCGCGAAAACAGCTAAATTCAAATTTTCAAAATAAAATTACAAAACTAAGCTATTTACCAAGTAAGTTCTGGAGATTTGACATCCCCAACACTTTGTATGTATTGTTTCAATAATTTGTGATTTATGAAAACCTTCCTTATGTAAAACAGTTATCTGAAAGATTTTATAGAGCGTTCAGAAAAAATCTCCGAGGAAATTGTAAACGATTTTTTTCAATATTTTTATAGAGCTATTTAGTTTAAAATATTATATAAAATACATTTAAAACACTTTTTATTTCATGAAAGGATAACTATCCCACTATGTTGCTAGGTGAAACACAAAAATTATTATTATTATACTGATGTGAACTAGGAAACAGGAAACCTGAACAAACTATGAAAGCTATTTTTGGGGATGTTATTTCATTTAATTCAAAGCTTGTAATACTGTAACATTTACTTTTGCCCTTAGTTTATTCTACAAATCATGAGCTTTCGTTTGATGTATGATTCATTGACATAACCATTTCTGTTCCAAAGTTATTGTAATTTAGACGTGACTTTTTGTACTCTACTTTCTACTCTAATCCACAGTTTTGAACATAATTGTATTAATTATTGTACATTGTGGTCAGGTTATTAATCTAATTATTTATGTAACTTTTCAGACTATTCGGAATTCGAGTGCTAGATCGAAATTGGAATAAAGTGATCAGTTATTCTTGTCTCCTCTCTCTCGTGCTTGCTAGCCAATCAGGGATAGAATAGTTTTCGTCTCTTTACCCTCACTTCGAACTCACGCATACTAGTCTCAAGATTAAGCCAGTCAGCCTATCTCGTCAAGGTCTCAATCTACATTAGACAAGTTATACTTGGCACTAAAGTGGGTAGACAGATTCAAGAACGTAACATATAGCTGCTAAGATAATGGTTTTTAGGATTTCTTAAGAAAAATTTATAATGTCTAGATCAAGTGTTCATTTAATCAAGATAAAAATGTAGACAAGTAGTATAACAAATGATAAATCAAAAAACTGTCGTACTTATATTATTAGTATTTAAGCACTTATGTATAATGATTTTTAACAAATAAGTTAATTATATTCAACAAAGCCATCATAGTAACAGCTATTAAAATCATTAAAATCATCCGGCTGACGAGTCCCATATAAGACGAAACGTGTGTCAAACTGGATTCCACTGCTAGTCACAATCCATCTCTGCTTAACAGCTATTAAAATCTTTTATTTTGTCCCAACAAGTCGCCTATATTGTGTAAATGTACAAAGTTGACAAATATATAAACATTATGGTTTATAAACAAAATACACAATATAACTGTCAAGTTGGAAAATTATGTCAATATAAGGTGTCAAGATAAGTGATTTCCATCATTACAAATCTACTTTAGATATCTTCAACCATAAAATACTATTGTACCGCCATGAATTTATTCCATTCGAATTAGGCTGATTATAAATTGATTACCATTAGCAGATTAATTTTCTAACAAAAATTTATTCTAACCAACGTTTGCATTCATAAAATGATCATCATCATCATCATCATCATCATCATCATCATCATCATCATCATCATCATCTTCATCATCTTCATCATCATCATCATCATCATCATCATCATCATCATCATCATCATCATCATCATCATCATCATCATCATCATCATCATCATCATCATCATCATCATCATCATCATCATCATCATCATCATCATCATCATCATCATCATCATTCGCGTGGCCATGTGAGAGTATTTCGAGGGGGAGAGCGGACTCTCCCCACTCTCGGCCATACCAAGGCATTTGGGGGCAATTATTACTTAGCAACCACATTGAAATAAATTTATGGATTCTCAATCTACCTTTGAAGTAGAATGACGTTTTGATTAAGCTTTGATTGCTTTCATAATATCTAGCTTATCTCTATGACAATCTAAATGGGAGTAAACAGAGAGAAAAATGAATTTCAGAAAAGTATGAACATATTCATTTGTACTTATATTATTCTATTGTTTACACTTTAAAATAGTTGCTTTTTACTTTCATTCAAGTGAATAGTCTTCGTTAGCACACTAAACTCCTGTATGAATAACACTAAAATGAATACGAACATATTTGAATAAAAAAAGATTGTAAAATTTAGCTTTTAAATTAAGAACCTTTTCCATGAATTTAAAAATTGAGACTCTTTGTACAGGTTATCATAATGAAAGAGTATAGAATATTAATAACTATTCAACAAAAATCATTTACTGTAAAGAGTGCTTACGAGACTAGATCAACTATATGAGTCTTCACGATCAAGTACAATTAGAACAGCAATTACAGACATATGTGAAACTGAAAATTATGAGAGGTAAAATATTCTAAACACAATAGAGTTTCTATGAATCAATATTGTGCCTGGCAACACTGCCGATACCTGATTGGTGTCGAAAATGGCACATTCAATTTCAAGATATGAATTGTTATTGTGTATAGTTAAAATTCTACTACCAAACTAAATTACAGAAAAGTAACGATGTAGTGAATTTATTGTAGTTTGAAATCTTTAAATAATGTGATGAACATTATTATCTATATTGCAGCACTATCTTGTGTTACTCAATCCATCAGCTGCATCATATTTCGTGTGTAAAAGGCTACACTAGTACTATTAACTTAAGCATTATATAGGTCACAATTGCATGAACAATATAGAAACAACGATCTAAATCATCTAACAACACTTGAAAAATAAAGACTGAAGGAATTTGAATGCACTGCTACGAAAGCAAAGTAAAGTTAATAACTGTTTTCTTCAGAACAGATAGTTCAGCCTTTGCACTTTTTTCTCTCACATTCTTACTAATTCGACATCACCATCCAACTATTTTATAGTTCATAACTATGAATAATTCTGGCCATTTGACATTAACTTAACTACTATCAATTACCATTCATTTGCATTTATTCATCCAGTAATGTAACCTTTTATTTTAAAGTCCATCTTGCTATAATAAGGGTTTTATTACACGTTCCTCAATCAATCGCTAGTGCAAATGCATCAATTGGAATCGGAATTTATAATTCTCTAGCCCAACTACAATATTTTGTCTAAATTGATGATGTAAACTCAACCGATGCTACACCTAGATTCACCCGATCAAACATGTGTAATGACAAAGTAATCTAACGACAAATCCACTCTGTCTACTTTCCAATCTCAGTCCAATAGACGAGAACCATGACAGGCGAACATATATTATTATGTTTTAAGTACACGTAAACTGCCAAATTTTGCATCCCAAATAATAAATCAGGGTTTGTAGAAGAACAAGCTAGAAGTGTTAGAGAACAGAGCAAGCGGTGAATAATCACTTAATGTACGGGCCCTGTTGTCTTACTCTAGCATAATCGAATGACAGTAATGTTAATGAAACATATATCCTATTTGCTTCTTTTATATTCTATTGATGTATCCCGTTAATAAAAACGTGGATATAAAAAGTTGATTAAGAAAGTATTTTAAGAAAATATATTTCTGAAATCTATTAATGTGGATGAACAATATGAGACGAAAAGAAACGCGTGTGAACTAGAATGGTAGAGATAGTCAACTCAGTAGGTAACAGATGACACAGTCTTTATGAGCATGGAAGGACAAAAGAATACAAATAAGTAAGTACTAGATACACATATTTATAGAGCATGTCCAAGGGCATACGTGGGTAATTGGCAGGGTCAAATATATAGCTGATAGGACAAGTAGAAAGAACGAATCATGTTGCCGTGTGATGGCAAAGATCCGTTATAAGCGATAATCAAGGAATGATAAGGTGCGTAGTGATGGTTAATAATGGGTTCAAAGCAAACTTACGATAAAAGAGATGTGGAAACATAATAGCTCAGTTATTTGATATGATACAATAAAAATGCGTAATGACAATTCATAAGATGATACTGAAATTTACCGGATCCTTGTTTCTTTACAAACATGTTAATTTCCGTTTGTCATTTAGATTTGCTAATATTAGCAGGTTATAAACAGGCGATGAACAGCTGAACAAACAAGTTGGATTCATGTTACTTTAATAAAGCCGATCTCCGGCTTATTAGTAATTTATGCTGTATTTACTTTTCATCATGCTTAAACTAAGACGGAGGTTTTTAGCCGTATCACCGTGCTGTTGATTGTGTAAAATTTTCGTATATTTTCATAATTGCTTTAGGTTACTTATGAGTAGTGTAATTGCAACATCAAACTTTACAACTTAGTTTTAACAAAATTCACAATGATCGTCTGCCACACACTCAGCATCAAGAACACACTTTCGCCTATGTTAACCAACAAACTAGGACTAGGGAAATTCACTAACAACCCAGTTTTCCACAATACATCAATAGTATACTGGACAGATTAGTTATAAATTCCTAAAGTGAAACATTAAAAGAGTAGCACTGTAATCTTAAGATTTTCAAGATTCATCTGATAACCAGGTCTAAAATAGTAAGCCCATATACTTTTTGACATATGAATTTGTCTCACTTCAAGCGAGAAATCATTCTGGCAATCTTGATGGTTATCACATAATTGTGATATCTAATAAAACTGGAAAAGTAGTCAGTGAATAAAGGTATACACATATTTGTTTGTTCATCAAAATCGGCCAGATGTCTACTCATTACAAAAGAACACTAGCCTGATAACCTCGTAACTTGTTCGCAAAATATTTATATCCTACTTACTACTATATTTTAGGGTTTTTACTTTTTTTTACCGCGAATATAACGAAATAAATTGGATCAGTATAAGTAAATGAGTAGACTTCGAGAACCGATTTGAATACCTCTCACTTTTACAAATCTATTTTACGCTTAAGAGAAATGAGCTGTGAAATCGATGATGCACATGTTTTGCAAACTTAAAACTCAAATCAATATCCACACTGTGATGAGTGTATATCCTGGATCTTATAACTAACCGCTACATAAAGTACTATTATGGTATATTACGCTAGTTTAGCAACAAAATGATTTTTTAAATTCATTCAGTATTGTTTGTTTGAATCTTCCCATCGATTTGTTAGGACTGCAACTGGTCAGTCTCTAATTGGCATATGTGCATACTGTGCGTATTGCCTCGATATAGCCTTAATTCACAAGCATGATAAGCAAAGATGGATAGTGGCTAGCAGTGGAATCCAGGACGAGCGTTTCGTCCTATTTGGGACTCGTCAACTGGATATGCCTGCATCTCAGAGTTGATGTCCACTCTGGAACTCGAACCCAGTACCCTCGCTTCAAACACCATCGAGTTATCCAAAATGATTTCACTAAATATCCACGATATTTCACAGTGAATACCAGTGAAAATTACTGATTTATGTAGAAATATCATGCAAGAGAATATTGCTATTTCTTAAATTTTGCATTTTAATTACTGTAGAACCATTTTGTCTATTATAGCCATACTGAACAAATATTTGTCAAAATGATACTTTGATTAATCAGTCAGAAAGTGTTATTGTTATCACAAAAGGCTACAGTAAATGTTTGGTGAATTCTTTAAATAAACGTTATATTTCAAACCATATCTAACTTAAAATAAATTCTGCAAAGTATATCTAGCTGTTGAGCTCTAGATAGGACGTAACTCGCATCCCCATACCACCATTAGCCACAATCTATCTATTCAAAAGATTTCGTTACGATTCAATTCAGTAATTTTACAAGCTGATGAGGTGCATCGAAATGTTTATGTACTTATCAGCTATTCCTTTTTCATATCACATGTAATCTAGCTATTTGAAGGTCATACTGATGATATCACCTAGAAAAAAGAATGAAAGTTACCCACTCAGTTCAGAGGAGTGAAATCTACCAAAGAAATTGTAATTACTTTATATAAATATTTTCCTCTTTATACTATCTGTAGCTAGTTTTTTTGTTGAATGCAATGTACCAATCAATCTATTTAGACGTTATCTGAGAATCCTTGTATTTCAATAGCTACATTTTAGCAACGATTGTATTCTTCTAATATACAACTAAAACATCTACATGATATACCTACGTATGTAATGTTAAACTTCTGAACAATTTATTTACATGAAACAGTTTTTATTTTAAATTCATTCAGTATTGTTTGTTTGAATCTTCCCATCGATTTGTTAGGACTGCAACTGGTCAGTCTCTAATTGGCATATGTGCATACTGTGCGTATTGCCTCGATATAGTCTTAATTCAGAAGCATGGTAAGCAGAGATGGATAGTGGCTAGCAGTGGAATCCAGGATGCGCGTTTCGTCCTATTTGGGACTCGTCAACTGGATGTACCTGCATCTCAGAGTTGATGTTCACTCTGGGACTCGAACCCAGTGCCCTCGCTTCAAACGCCATCGCGTTATCCACTCGGTCACTGAGTCCTGATAGCCACTTACTTGTGCGATGGGGTGAATTTTAAATTCATTCAGTATTGTTTGTTTGAATCTTCTCATCGATTTGTTAGGACTGCAACTGGTCATTCTTTATTAGTACATTATCAGTAACTTTTGACAATCCTAACCTATAACTGATAATTTATCAAAGTGATACCATATTATCTTACTTATTTTAAGTGATTATTTCATGTGTTGTGTTTTTCTGTAAACAGTAAACTATAGTAAAGATGGATAGTGTCTAGCAGTGGAATCCAGTTGCAGTCCTAACACATCGATGGGAAGATTCAAACAAACAATACTAAATGAAGTAAACTATAGTGTTTACTCAATTTTTTTTTAGAAGTTTGAGATCTGTTTTATTTCATCCTTTTTAAACATTGAA